GCAAATCATCATTTTTGGAGTGTTTTCGGCTTTGACTGTTTGCTTAGCGATATTTATGTAGCTTGACGTCATTTCCAACCGTATAACATTGTAAGTGTATATAGCTAAATTGTAAGTGCAAATAAACGTCACCTCTGACCACCTTAGGGTCTATTGATATTCTTCAAAATCACGACAATTAATGGAAAAATAACTTCGTAGCATAATAATTATTTGGCATATTTATGTATATTATATGCTACGCATCATAATTATTTGATGCGTAAGGCAACCTCAGAAATGTAATTACTCTTGTGAACCGATATCTGATCTCTATCGCGTATATAATTTCATACCGATTATAAACAACCGTTTATTTTAAGATAATGCTTTGCTTCCGAGAATTATTGATTGATTGCTGTGGTGGAGCGAGGCGTAAACGGGTTGCATTCAATAATGCTAAGTGTTTATTCATAAGGTCTACGAATATGTTACAGGCAAACTCAGTTTTTGTTTAGAAAAAAACGTATAAATTATAACGGCCGCTCGATATTTTTTTTGTATTTTAAATAGTCAATGTATCAATAAACTCACGAGAAACTAAACGGTGTTTTAAGGTTTTATGAGATTTTATGGCTCTTTTGTCTCTTCCTCTTAGAAAGCTCCTTTAAACACCTAATCAATTTCTAATTCTAAATAATCTTTCTAATTTCTCATTCAACTGAGACTTCTGATTGTAATTATTATAAAAGTAAATAACATATTTTGTAAGATTTTTTTGCCCCAAAATTTACGCTGTCCACTTGTTTTAAAGTGAATAATATTTAAAAAAGTTAGTTTTTAACAGTTTTTCCCGTAGACATCGTATCTTTATCATTTTGTTGATTGACTTCCCTAAATAGTTATAAAAGTTCAACTCTAGGACTAAATAATTAAAAAGACAAGGAATGGTGATAGGGTTCAACAAGTCCATTTTTTATTAACGAAAAACAAAATCGATTTTAAATATCTCGCTATGAATTTTATAATTGATTTTCACTAGTTCCCTAAGTATCTCCGGAGCCCAAGATCCAATACCAATGAAATTAATATGGGACCACATAAAAAGCACCAGCTTTCAAATAAAAAAAAGAATCATCCAAATCGGTTCACTCAGCCGAAAGGTCTTAGGTAACAAACATAAAAAATACGGTCGAATTGAGAGCCTTCTCCTTTTTGGAAGTCGGTTGAAAACGACTTATACTAATTACGTATTACGTTGAATTAATGTAGTCGCTTTAGGAAAAATTATCCACGACAACAACTCAAATAATGTAGCTCTGTAAATTTCTTATAACACACACAAAGCCAATAGCAAGGGAGGTAACAATCACGATAATTACGGCGAAGACAAATATTTACCGGTGTTTACAAGGTAATGTTTAGCCGATCGCCCACGCGTCGACAGCCACCCATTAGTGACTGCGAGCCAGACTCCCTGAGGTTTTCAGTCATTTAATTCTGCCTGCAGCTATGGCGGACTACTAGATCAAAGATAAAAAAAAGATGACAAGTAGCGTCTAAGGCGTCAAAGGCTTTTCGCCTTTTCTTCTACAAATTCATCTTGAATGTAGAAATTGTTAGTTTACATTTTTTTAATTTTAAATAGCAATGGCGACAATGGCTCGTTCGAATTATCGTTGCAAAACGATATTGGAAATACTTTGTGTGCTTTAAAGAACGCAACCTGCAAAGTTTTACATTTAGCATTTTCCTTTAGCTTATCTTAGTATGAAATAATCCCCTAACAACAAGATCGTGCTACTTCACAAATTAAATATGCTGTGGTAGCGCCACTTATCATTAGGTAAACCGCCTTGTCTTAAAAACTTTTCACATAAAAAAGCGATCCAAGTACGTATAGGACTGATCCTCGCACCATCTTGTGACATAGCTTTTGAAGTTATACTTCTTTAGGCGCTTGGAAAAAAATACGAGAGTAAAATTTTTACGATGCGCGCGCACTGCGATCGTCAAAAAGCGAGTTGATTAAGTTGGTTGCAAAGGAAGGAACTTCACGGTATTACCATGGCCACTAATAAGAACTTTTTACATTTACTTATAACAAATTTTAACTGTTTTCAATTGCATTTAAAGTAAGTTTGTGAAAAAACAAAGAGTACTGGCACAATTGATACAATTTTATAGTATAAAATAGTATAACTTTTTACGTACGCATATAAGTACACACACACACTTTTTATGTAAGAGGATGGCAAGTAAGTAACTGCCAGTTAATCTCATGCTGAGTGACGACCACTGGTCATGGACATTTGCAACATCCATAGGGTTGCAGATGCGTACCCCCTTTCAACAAAGTGGGTCCCGGTTACCTCACTGAATCAAATGAATACCACCACAACTTACCAGATGAAACGCAGACATATAACGTCCACTTCACGCCGGTCTCCTGTAACGTCCTTGTACTTCCCCGGACAGGCCAGCCCATTTGTGAAACAACGTAGACAGTACAATACTTTTAATAATTTTGCATTGATAAATTAAACAGAGTATACACAATAGATGTACTAAATGTAAACTTTGACTGTTTGTTTGTTTCGTGATAATATTTTTATTTAGTTACTTCAACACAGGCAAAGGCGTGTACAAAGTTTCATCAAACTAACAATAACAATATTTAATTATCCAAATATCAGTAACAAAGAAAAAAGGAAGTTTAAATGTAAGGGACTATCGGTATCGTCGGCACATAAGGAATAAGTAATGCGCTCAAGTTCTGTAATAAATCTAAAAAGAATGCTCCGGCCGCTCCCAAAAGGATACTCGTAGAAGCATTCACCTTCTATTTTTCCTGTTATTTATGGGCCTATGCTTTATACTAGACCGCGAGCCAAGAATAAAGTGGGTAACTAAAATAAATGACTGTATGCTACCATAATCATCCATTTCTTGGGTCGATCAAACTTTTCCCCATTCATGAAAATGAATGAACTCCGGATATCAATTTCAAATATTGGGTAAACATAAAATAATAGAATGCAATTTAAGCGATTTGAAAACAAAGAAAAATCATACTATCTTATCTCATGACGAGATTTATGGAAGGTAAATTGAGAGCTGAAGAACGTTCGATTATCTGTCAGAGTTCCAATGTTAGTTTTATCTTGACTTATTCTAAGTTTACACAAGCATTTACACTTAAATTTTGATAACCTTTTATTAAGTGTCACAACTGTTATCAAAATGTAATGCTAAATACAAGAAATTAAGAATACCTTAGAATACCTTACCGTAAAGTTGTTACTTTTATCCATATTTTAGTTTTTATTCGTTTTTATTTAATTTTTTAGAATAATAGGAAAATAATATTTACTTTTAAGATAAAAGAGGTTAAGCGTTTAAGCTGCTTGAGTTAGGATTAATGTAACGGTTAAAATGAAGGGTTCCTCAGGGCTGTGTGACGCGCAAATCTTTTTGTTTGATCAGGCGCTTGTTGACAACGAATTCGTTGACGTTAATCCCTAGACAATGGTACCGTTTCATCTGGACAGAGCCAAATGACGCGCCGACCACCAGTGTCCCGCTTCATTTACGCTAAGTCTCCATGTTAATATTTATTTAAAAGCTTTCCTTTAAATTCCTGGTTTGACAAAAGTTCGTTTCACTCGTGTTATTTGACATTGTTATTAGTCCTATTGTGAATTACATTTTTAAAATCACCGGTCAAAATGTCATAAAAACACATCTTAATTTGGCAGACATATTTATTTATACTTGTTAAAATTCAGCTTTATCATTCGTAGCAATTAAAGATTATTTACAAATCCGAGGAAAGGATGAAATTGTACAAAAATAAATAATGTAAACAAAAATGTAAATCATAAATTTGGTCATAATACACCAAATGAAACTTAATTAATAAAGGAAAATTTTGGTTTTCACATAATGTTGTAAACAACAAAACATAAAATGATATATGAAACCTACTATTTTAACTATTTTAAGTAGAATATATTATAATAATAGGTATGCAACTAAACAAATTACATAGTTAATTACAAGAATACGAAATCAAGATATCTATTGACATATATTTTTTATTACATAAATACCATTAATTTCCATCAATAACATTTAGAAATATTAATGTTGATCAAGAAAAATATAATTACTCTGTTTTGTTTTTACAATAAATGCTTCGACTATTTACACGTACGTACAATTTTTATTGCTGGAGAAATTTAAAGTTCCTAAAATCAGTAATATCATTAATCTGAATAATGTATACCTAGTAACTATAAACTAAACATTAATAAGGACTAGTATGTAAAAATAGTTCTACGCGGTATTCAATTAACCACACTTTCTTTTAAAACATTCGGGACTTTTTATATGTAATACAAATATGTGTGACATTCACATTATTCACTGCATATTATGAAAGACTAAATCTCACAGGTATGCTTGAATTGAGAACCCTATATTTTAACACTATTAAAATAGTTCAAATCATTTAGCATATAGTACATATTAAGCGTAAAAATATGAAATAACACCTAATTTATATGTACAGCATACATGTATATCATTTTAATTATAAAAGTTATTGTTACTATAACTGTTCCTTATCGTATGTATATACAATCTAGATTGTCTGGTGTTTACCTTACTGTGTTTCATAAATATATTTATAAGTACAATTTACAATCTTCCTACTAACTACGTACAAACAATTTTTTTATAATCAAACACGTTATAATAGCCGCGTTTACAATGAGCATAAGTGTCTCCATGGAAAATAACTTAATTAAAATCACAAAAGAAATCAAACCTTCTCACAAAATACATAATTTATTTCCCAACTCCCATTATTTTTATTCCAGACTCAATCTGTATCACATAAGAGACGTTCGTGCACTTCAATGACATGTGGAATCGTTCTTTTTCTCACGATTTTGTTCAAATATTTAGGAACTGAAAGAGCGGTCTTCGATTGACAGCGTATCAAAACTATGACGTCACACAATAACGTCATGCACAATGTTTTCATTAGCTGCGATTCCTGGCGTTAGGACAGGTTGGAAACAGTGGTTTGTTGGAGTGAAATCCTCCACTAATTTTCGTTTTAGTACGGACGAGGATCCAACATACACGTTGGTTCCAGGAAAAGTGCCTCGTCGCCTTCGTCTCCATACAATTGCGGCTAATGCAGCTAGACCGAACGCGATCATGGCTGATAAACATCCCAACACTAATTCGGAATCTGGTCCTCTTTCGGGGACGCGCTCACCCCTCATAGAGCTCACTAAGACTGACATTAAACGATCCCCTTCGCTTACTTCGACATCTTGCACACTTTCTGTTGAAACACGTTGAGCTCGACTGGTATCGATGGTCATGGTCTCAGATTTTTCGTTATCTACCCCAGGCGTCCTAGACACTAGTTCTACTTGAATGTGATATATCGTATCTGGCCAAAGCGATAAGGTTACACGGGTGGAATCGGTAAAAAGATTTCCTTTTAGACCTCCACCGTCGACTTCCCACGTCACGAGATAGACGCCACGTGCTATTCTCGGCTCCCATGCGATTTCTCCGATTACCAGAACCTTTTGATGAATAAGGGATATCTCTTTTAAGGTCCATTTATGCTCGTCATGATTTGAAGAATTTGTGTCACGTGCCACCCACGTTTCGTCGGGGCTATAAATTGTGACGAGGCCTTGCGGATCCACTACCAAAACTCGCAGAAGGGCGCCTTCGTTATTTGAAGGTACTCGCGTTGCGAGCGCCTGTGTTTGTATTATTTGCCGCCAGGGGCCCTCAGCGGCGCGGCGCATAACGACATATACTAAAGGAGCTGGTCGTGACGATGCTGGAGGTGGCCAACGGGCCAGAGCACCGCTGACTCGCATAACACCTTCTCCTTTGGTATGGATAACCGGTTGCGTTTGCGACGCTCTTGCTGCTTCAGTGTGGAATTCGCACGCGATTTTGCACCCAGGGAACTGCAAGAAAATTTATTATTATTAGTGTTCGCGCATTTTTGTCAACTTTATTAGAATATCCTCCGATAATACATACGCATATGTCTTGTTCGTCGCAAACTGCACCCCACACTTGATAGTTGGATTGAAGTAGTTCACAATTTTCCCAGCACTGTAACAATATAAATCTTCCCTCAAATTTCTGTTAAAAGTGAACAGTTAAAAATAAATGGCCTTAGTATAAACATCACAAATAACATAATTTATACATGCTAACAGGTAGCTATTTATAATTTCAATGTACAATTGAAAAAATCGGAAAGTTTTTTTTTTTAAAATATCTGATTAGATTTGAATCATAGTTCCGAAACTATAAAGGAACATTAATAATTTACACGGCAAAATCGAAATAATATATTAATGTACACATGTATGGGCTGAAAAGAACTGGTTTGTAGGGAGTCAAAAACCAGTTTATAACAGAAAATATCTTAATACGATGATACTAAAATCAATCAAGAGAAGAAACAGCATGCCTGTCCAGATTTCGTAAAGGAGTTTGACACAAATGCAGTATTTGTCATTGGAAGCACTCATTAGTTGGAGTTGACGTTAACTTGACGCCTGCTCTCGGCTTGGTAAGCTTTAATAATTATAAGAACCAGCGCCAACCGCGGTTATTAATTACCGGTATTGACAAAACGTCCTGTCGCCTGAATTCCTCAGAGCCTTTGAAGTAGAGATGTTATTGATTTTAGAAGCAAGGGATTATTTATTTGGAATTTTGTGTTATTAGTTATAACACCTTTACTTTATGCAATAATATATATTTGAAAATTGATTTTCCAAGCAATGAAGTATCAGGTTCATATTAATCTGGCTACACAGACACCATTTTTGTTACAAAATTGAAACAATTATTTAACCAGTAAGAAAAACATATGAAGTTTATATTAGACCCAAGTGATGTTAATACTGTAAAAATAAATACCTAAAAATATATGAATGATTTAAAGTTTTACTGCACGCACGAATTGCAAAATGGTTTAAGTGAACCCACAGTCTGTCGGCACACAACTATTTTTCCCACAAAAATTTGGGAAAGATAGCTCCGCGGCCAAGTTTAGCTTGATTGTTTCACATTTTTATAAAACCCCACGCTTCACGGTGATTAATATGAAGGATATTCCCTAGTGCGGGAGTCATTATAAAAACAACTTTATGAGTAACACAAGCCTCTTTGATAAAATTAAATACAAGCGCATAATTTATGTTGAGATCAAGTGTTTCCCGTCGATGTTTCGAAGTGTTTCTTTGAATTAAAATGTGGATACTTACCATAAAACAGTCGGGGCCTTGCAAACACGATGACTCCCCGCCAGGCCGAGGCGCCGCGAACTGCGAGCAAACATCGAAAACGTCAATCATCAAGCAATTTATTGAAACACGGACAAAAAGTTACGAAATGATAATGAAATCGATAATTCATTATCATATGAATTCATTTGATATAAGTCTCCGAAAGTTCATTGCTCTTATAATTTATGAACTCGACCCTTTACTAGATTTGTATAATGATTTCGTGTGTTTACAAGAAAACTATATTACAACTAGAATCGTCAGATAGTACACCTTAATCAAAAAATCCTTAAATTAGCTTTATTTAATAACAATGACAACTACAACAAATAAATTTATAAGACATGTTTGAAACCTCACAAGATCTTATTTGCGAAATTATAACAAAATCGTGTCATATCTACATAGATATAATCGTGAAAGAATAATACCGCATCTATATGGATTATCATAACTAAGAAAACTTAACACTATGTATGGTAACAATATTTACGGGTTAATACAAAACATTGCCATATTATAAAACTATTTCCACCGAACACATTGAATCATGGCAATTCTTAATGAGCACTTTTACACCGCACTCTGTAACTTATCCAACGAACCTCAATATAGAAGGGGACGTTTAATTATTCAATGGGACACAAATACATTATTCGTTATCTGAGCAGAGTTCAGAGAGGGTTTTATGCCCGAGCGGTTAAAAAAAAGAATAAGAAAATAAATGTTCGATTCGAGCAGCGAGTTTAATGTATTTGATAAAAGTGACATGCATCTGCTTACCGTCGCTGGGCCGGCCGTTTTAATTGCCTGATATGCCAATGGGGACGGTCTCGAGGCTCAGTTGTCGTACTTACAGTGGCTCGGATACGTCAAATTCTCTCACGACTGACTTGATAAAGTGTTTTAAGCTTCTAAATAACAATTTTGCAATTGAGAATTTAGCCTAGATTATCTACGGTATTATTGTAAAGTAGTATTTGTTTATCTCATGTATAAGCGAATGCGATGTTCCATGATTGGCATTATAATACATAGCATTTGAAAATTATACTAGATGACTCAACAAGATTCGGTTAAAATTGGAACCTCGATTGGACTTATACAAAAAAACATTGTTTTCTACTCCGTCAAGTCGAGGTATAACCTCACGAGTTTAAACCTCAATAGCATGTATCAAATATTATTTCCGTTGTTTCTGGATATCTATTGTGAAAATATCTCTATCTCATTTGTGTAGCATGTGCGAAGTTCACTACTTGATCTATACATCTTTCTATGTAATTATTTTTCTAACTTGAATTAAAAATAATAATTAGTATTTTTGTTTAGGCCTAGAATTTTATTTTATTTATTTATTATATATACCTTCTTAGACAAGTATTTATACAAATAAATGTATACGAGTATGACATCGATGTAGGTATTGTAAAGAAATTTAATTGTTTTTTAATTGATAATAGTGACTTGTTGGCGCAGATGCTAAGTTATTGGGTTAGGCGCCGGCGGCCGTGTATTCGATTCTCACAGATTATTGTTACGAATCTGTCTGTTTATTCCCAGGAAGGGTGACGTCAAGCAGGCGAACAGTCGTAAATAACCTAGTCAATACCATTAACAACATGTTTCGCACGTTGTACCCACTTGATGGAATAAGAGAAGAAGTAAGAAGAAGAAATCAATATTTTCCCTTCTAGCCCTTCCTACACCGTATAAACGTATGTATTGATCGATCAACAAAGAGAACCAGCAATAAATAACGCTGATATCTATTTAGTAATATCATTCTCAGCAAATAAATATATGCGATGAATAAGTAAGACCAGAGCAAATAGGCTACATCAAGCAGTAGCGGCAAACGGAACGAAATTACTCTTTTAGGCCACTATCGTTGCCGCTAATGACGCCAATCTCTAGCCGGGGCCATCAAACCACTCTCGTCCGGCCGTTATTAGATGTAATCATCGTAATTTTTCACACAATTTTTTTTTCGGATCACGATACAACGCCACAGAAGTGTTATTTCACGTCGGCTAATGACAACAAAAAATGTGGTCGGGAGCAATGTGCTCGGTAGCCGCCGAGATAGGCGCGTCGAATGTATACGACGTCTGCATCGGTGATTTTTATGATTTGTTTGTGGAACGTGGTGGTGTTATTGCGAAATAATTCATTCTTGAAAAAGACATTATAACACTGAAACGTTTAGCTCAAATTTGATGCAAATACACAAATTTTAATTTTAATCTCGGTAGAACGACTCTTCTCTTGTAGTGACTCATTTTAATCAATTAGAAAGACTAATCAGGTACATAATCTTTTCTGTTCGCATTATAAATGTTGAGGCGAACGTCTCTTTAAGACATATTTCTCACATTTTATGTGAAATTCTTACGAACTGTTATTATTTATCATAGACACTATTCAAAATAAAATAAATTCACTTATGGTTTCCATCTTAGTGTTTTCAAGTATTTTTTTATTTCTTCATAAAAAAAGGATTTTGATCCCTGATGCAGTAGATAGATAGGACCAATTGCACGTTTCAAAGATTTTATCTAGTTCAACGTCGTGACAAGTGCTGAGTTTGTCGCCTAACACGAGGTAAAAGTACAAGAGTATGAAATTGAACACTACTAAGTTCAACTTATGCTTGGCAATAACCACCGTTAACGGACACTTGAAACACAGGTGATGTTACCAGTCTTAACTTTTGTATTTACACGTAAATGCCGCATCGATATTCTCATATTATTATTTTTTTACCGTACCAGATTGAACTTTGCTTTCGCCGTTGCAAATACGCACCACAATGAACGTTTAATCAATCGGCAATCCAATAATATCAAGTATTGTATCGCACGACTACGACTCGAAGAGTTTGAAATATGAAAGTTAAACAAAACAAAAGAGGCGAGTGAACTTCGGCAACTGCAAAGGGAAGTGAGTGAATAATGAATGACGGTGATTGAAAACAGCTCTCCGAGTGGCCCCGTATTTATGTTAGATGCCGCCGCAGATTACCCTTTTGTTAATCAAACAGCGCTTATTGAATATTATTTAATTAATCTTTCGTATTTGACTTCGGGATGCCGTTGAATAGAAAGCGAGGAAGAAAAATGGATTGTTCGGAGATCGAAAGTCGGTTACGGTTTTCGAATCCATGGCACTGAATGAAGCCGGTTAGATAACCGTTATAGACAAATATCTTTCGCTCTACGTTATAACCTTTCGTTAAATTAGAAGCCAAAAAAAGTTTGAAGACATTATTAAAAAATATAATTTTGAAGATGTTGAAAATGGTACAAAAAGTGATCAGATTAAACGACCCGGAATCTTTCATACGGACGCTTCGGAATTACTAAACCTATTAAGCATAATCGTTCATGAGCCGGCCCTGGGGCTGCGTCTGAGCATGAACTAATCGATTGATAGACACACACATGGCCGGTTACAATCAATCCATCAGCGTTTATGTAAGGCGTAACTATCGATGATCTTCATTTATCATTATGTTTCGTGGGTAGCAGCCAGGTACGCTTGCAGGTCATTTCGAAAGTTCGTTTTAAACAAATACCTTCCACTCGCTTTACGATGTAATCAATTTTATAACAGAATAACATTAATTAATATATATATATATATATATATTTCATTACACAATTATACACATTTATTTTATTTAAACATAATAATATTACAAAAGATGTTAAAATTTTAATTTATTTTACTTATCAAAAGTCATTTCAATTAAAAATATCATCTCATATTTGCTTATAGTATGTTATAAACTTAATTAGCCATACTGAGTTTTAAATGTACGGTTTTCAGTTTTACACACATATCACATGGTGTCACTGAGAGAAGCGAGCAAAAACAACGTGAATTATGATTTCTCATGAAGATAAAATACAATACTAAGCCAGCGCGCCAAATGGAGAAGAAAAAATATAATTTTGTGCAGGGAACAGATACCGCGACTTGGATGTTCAACAAGAAATCAAGTTCGAGAAGCGTACCTGTATTTAATGCAAGACAACAAAAAAAAAAAACAACGGGCACTGGAATAAAGTCCATTTCGCCGGGGATTGAGGACATTTAATGATTTACTTGCTCATTATGTTGTCACCGAGCGACTTAATTTTCCATTTTCACTTATCTCTTTAAAATTATTGTGCACCTCGGCGTCTTTGAGCGCGCTTTCATAAGTCTTATTAAAAAGTAATTGACATTGAGTAAAGCAATGCAGTGTAAACAACTGCTGCAATATAAATCACCCAGCAAAGTATACGAAACTCTCACATCCAAAGGAAAATGTGTGCTGTGTCTCTGCCGTACGTTAGTTGTTATTTTATTTGATCTAGAGAAGGTAAACTCTATTACCGGTCCGTTTTTACAAGTAGAAATTCAATTTCAGCTTCCACCTAGTTCTTTAAAGAAAAGTAGGTTACTGGATATGGAGAGACATAAATAAAATGAAATGAAGTAGATGAAGTAGTAGTGCTCACCTTTTAAAAGGGGTGTGCTGTTGCCAGTTTAATATTACGGGTGACTTCAAGTTGTATACGTTATAAAGTTATTCATACTGAATTTTAAACTTAAGGTTTTCAGTCCTACATACAAATTTACCTACAATGTATTTATCTGCCATTTTGTTGTTGCAGGGGTAATTATAAGAGCATTATTTTGACAATCAGTAAGTATCTAAGTGTAACGCTTCAATATGAATAAAGATATGTTAATTTGTATTGAATTGTGACGGTAAAAAGAAAGAAAAAGTCAATTAAAATGACCGAATCATAAAATAGGCACATAAACATGATATGGAATTAATGAATTCCTGTTATATGCTGATAATATTAAAAATGTTATTTTTAGTTTCAAATAAATAAAAAAAAAACTATAGTAACAACGCAAGTAGCGCCATCTTAGTAAATTTAATCCGTGAGCAATCAATTGTACAATTATTCATAATATAAGGAGATTTCTCACTCACTTCCAATGCTTTTGGTCATTTTTTAATGTTTCTGAATATTTGA